TGTGGTGCTGAGGATCAAACCCAGTGCCTCACACTTGCAAGGCAAGTGCTTAAGAATATGGAACGCTTCATGAATTTGCGCGCCATCCTTGCACAGGGTCTATGCTAATCTTCTTGAATTGTTCCAATTTTAGTATATGTGTCACTAAAGCGGTCACCCATTTGATTATTTTTATGTATTTTTTTTTGCATCTTTAAAACCTGCTGTATTTTCTGCCTTTTATGTACTACAATTAGTAGTTTGATAAAGTTTACTTAGATTAGTGGGGTGACTTGAATTTCCTTGATGAAAGTTAGTAAACTGGGTCTTACAGTACTAACAGCTACATTGTTTGGAAGCATCACAGGGTGCCTGCCTTAATTTCCTTGAGGGGTCCACAAGTAGATTTGGAAAGAATTGGGTGAAAATCAATTTAGTCTTTTTGGAATTTTATTTCCTGAGCTCTTTTATTTTTATAGAGTGGGAGGGTAGGCATGTTTCCCATTTGGAGCATTATTAAATTAATAATTTTTTTTTCATCAATTGGGAAAGAGTAAGGTTCCATGAGGATCATTGAATTCCCTGCACCCACAACTCCTCACCTTGCCTTGAGGCAGACAGGAAAACACTTAAGTCAGAGGGTGGTTGGGCATGCATTCATCAACCTAAAGTGTGATGCAAATATCATGGCTCTGTACCATCGTGCCTGAGGGCATGCCTTTCTCAACTTGAGAGCAATGATTGTTTTCTCTTCCACCCTTCCACCCTCCTGGGCCTTCTGAAGTTCCTAGGCCCATAGAAAATTTTGTATTTCCATAGAGCTTCTTTTTTTTATACTGGAGATGAAACCCAGGGCTGCTGAATTTATTTATGTTTTTATTTTGAGACAGGAACTTGCTAAATTGCCCTGGCTGGCCTAGAGTTTGTGATCCTCCCACCTCAGTCTCCAGAGTAACTGGTATCACAGGCTGTGCCACCACCCCTGGCTCCATAGAGCTTTAAAAACTTTTTTGAATGTTTTTCATACCTATTATTTTTCATCAACACTGGGGTTAAGAGGAGCACCCGTTTTTCCCATTTTCAGATGAAAAAATTAAGGAACATAAATCTAATTAGTGGTCAAGATGAAGACCCAGACCTCTGACATGACTTATTCCAGGAGATCACACATTTAAACTTTTGTTTCTTGAGGAATATCTTTGCAGAAATGCTTGTCTTTCTCCACTTCTTTTAAAAAAATAATTTGAGGTGAGATTCTAAAAAATAAGCTATGCTTACATGTGAAAGAACTCACAAATTTTCTTCCTTCCTTTTCTCCTCCCTCTCTCTCGCCTTTCCTTCTTCCCTCCCTCCTTCCACCTCTAGCATGCTAAGCACATGTTCTACCACGGACACACCTCCAGCCTTAACTTTGTTTCATAGACATGGAACTCCTAGACGTTTGCAGTGGGCAGTTAGTCATAATGAATTAACTATTAGTTCTTGGTTATGCCTACTTCTAGAGGACACTCGCAAGGTTCAGGCAACATTGCCTTGTGATTTGTAGAATAAATAGGTTAAAGGTCTTTTTTATTTAAATGAAAATAAGTATCTCATTTCTCAGAATCTTCCTTCCCCCTGAATGTTAGCTGATTGGTTGGTTTGATTCTTTGTGTGTGTGGTGGGGGGTGTTATGCTCAAGTTCGGGACCCCCAAAAGACCACCAGAGACCAAGATCGATATAAGCAGCAAAGAGGCGTTTATTGTGAGCTAGCTCGGTCCTCTGTGCATACAGCAACTGGTGACGCTAAGAGGTCCTGAGCCCAGGGTTTGCAGCAGTTTTATACACTCTTTGGGGAAGGCAGGGACTTCACATACATCATAGCATCTCTTAGCAAATCATCACACACCACAGGAAGATCATAAAACAACTCTAAAACATGATTAGCACATTCACTGATGGGAACAAGTTGGGTAGGGGTATTGGTTAGTACAAGAGGGGGATTCGTTTGAACTGATTGGTTTAAGCCATGAGGGAAGTGCATGCTGAACTACATGGTTTCCCAACATGTTACCAACCACCATAAACTACTGGGGGGTCATCTAGCATCCCAGGTATTTTCCCTGTCTCATGCTGATTGGTGGCTGCTAGGGGGTTGCAATGGGTCCTCACCTAGCCTGACTGAGTCAGGGACACCTGGGAAGCAGATCTCTCCTGTTATTTGTAGATAAACACCTCAGCAGGGTGGGTATGTGCCTAAGAGTGCTCTGTGGGTTTTTCCAAGGACAAGGGTCATGTCCCCTTCCTTGGACAGGCTTTGCTCTGAGGTAGAGGCTGGTTTCTCAAAAATGGAGTCATATCAGTTTCTTATTCCCCCCTTTGTCTGGAAACTTGGAAACCAATCATGGTTCCCTCAGTTGAGGGTCTATTTGGGCAGGCTCTACATCTTGGTAGAGTAAACAGTAACCCTCAGGGGATAGTCTTCAACTTCCCAGACTCACTCAAAATTGGCCTCCTAAATCCAACCTGACTCAATTTACCTATCTACACTGTCTATCTATTTCTGGCTTCATTCCCCCCTCTAATTTTAGGAACACCTTATTGCTGTAAGAAGGGGCGATGGCTCGTTCTAGCTGCTTCAAAGCTGAGAGGGGGGCATCGAACATGAGGGGGCTTGACAATGCAGGGGACGACAATATAGGGGACATGGGGGGACGAGAGTTCCCTTTTAGAAGTCAGTTCAGTTTGAAGTCTGGTTGGGGAAGAACAGATTGTAAAGTCATCTGGGGATGGATGCTTCTATGAGAGAAACAAAAACCATGAGTACTGAATAAATGTTGCAGCAGCTGGAACATGTCGCTGTATAAATAAAAGTTTCCTCACCAGGCTTTAACATCCCCAGTTATCATTACTGAAAGCATAACATTTAACTTTTAGTGTTACAGATGTCCTTTCCCATTAAGATACAGTTTAATAATGTCATCTGATCTTGCAAAATCCTATTGCTAGTATGACCTCTGTGTCTAATAGAGAAACCTTTAATTCTGTTACTTGGGGCTGCATGATTATACTAGCAAACACCAAGCCTACATGTGTATGTTAGGAATATCTGTAGGCCTTAAACTAAAAACTACTCTGGCAGTTCTTCTTGATATAGTTTCTTTTGATAGTAATCAGGCATTCCTGCCTAAGAAGTAGCCTCCAGTCATACTTATTCTTGGGGGCTAACACAAGGTGTATACCTTAAGTTACATTTAATTATTATTATTATTATTATTATTATTTAAAATGCCCAAGAATAACTGTGTTTTGTTTTTAACTGTCTTTGCTAAGTGTTTAAGATGAAGCAAATTGACTTTTGTTTCTATCTATTGTTAACAGCTGAGTTTCCATGGGAGTCCTGGGGGAACTTTACAGCAGCTTCTCAGTTCTGCTAGTGCCATTTGCACTAGGATGGGTCCAGGTCTTGCTTGACCATGTGGCTTCTCTTGGAAGCATCAGGGATGTCTCCCTTCTCCAATGACCCTCCTCTTCATAGCAAATGCACTGATTGGCTTTCTGTTCTTTGGTGGTCTCATTAATCTCCCTGATCGGGAGGTTATGTGGCCCAGAGTTACAAAGCTCTTGAGAGAAGTCCCCTGTTTCCTGTATTCAGACTGACTCAGAGGGCAAGAGCCAAATATTGGTTTTCTTGGCCCTTTTAATTTAACTTTAATTCTAAATCTTAAACATTCATCAAATCAATTTCAACAGCCTTATATTAAGAGTACTGGGCTTTAATGTCTATCTCTCTATCCTGTAGGTGATAACTCATTATCTTAAATTAACCCAGGTTGTGTATTCTTAAAGCAGTACCTCTGCAAAACATTAACAGGCAATCTTTAGATCATTTATAAGAAAACTACAAAACAAAATAAACAAGAGTAAAAACATATTTAGTTTGTGAAATAGCTCCCTTGAACTTTGGCAGAGTTATACATTATATCCCCTGTTTGAGATCCTAGTAATCTTGACAAAAGCCAGCTTTTGGACACAACTTTAAATGTACTGAAATCTGGCCTACTTCTTTTGTAGTCATTCTCACATTTAATAAGATGGGACACAGAGCCTTATTTCAGGTAAGGCGGGGCTCTTCATCAATCTTAAGTAAAGTGCTGTAGTTCTGAAGCTGATCTTTGCTTTTTAAACATCATTTTACAAAGCTTACATGAATTGTTGCTCAAGTTCACATGAATATTAGCTAACACGATATAATATCACGTCCAAAATATGAATTAAAGAAAGGCTGAAAGCTTTTAACCTTTTGTAGAAAAGTAGCAAAGTACTTTTGTGTTTTTCAGTATTAACTTTTACATAGATTAGGCTCTCTTTAACTTAAAAATAGATTTAAATTGTACCTCAGTGTAAAAGTAACATAAAACTTTACATACAGAACTTTTCATATAGAACATCAAATGATATAAATAAATCTCCAATATGTTTTTCTTTTAAGCCTAAAATTACCATACAACTTTACAACACCAGTTGATAAAATGCTCTTTTAAAGCTTCTACCTTACAGATTTGTATACCTGGAAGATATGAACACATTAATAGCACAATAATTACATTGATTTTTTTTTAAACATACGATTTGTTTTTATTTTTTTTAGTCATACATAACAGCAGAATGTATTTTGATATATAATACATACATGGAATGTACATACATCAATCATAATGTCTATTCTGCTGCCCTTCCTATCCCCCCTACTCCTCCCCTCCTCTCCCATCCTTTCTATCCAATCTAATGTGACACACTTTTTTTTTCTTTTTCTCATCACAACATCATATATGTATTTTGTATAACAATGAGGTTTTCCTTCCATCTTCCGTGCAACTCCCCTTCTCCTTCTTTTTTTCCTCTCACTTCTCTTCCCTATTTAATGGTAGTCTTCTTCTCATGCTCTTCCTCCCTATCCCATTTTTAGTCACTCCCCTTATATCAGAGAAGACATTCGGCATTTGTTTTTTAGGGATTGGCTAACTTCACTTAGCATAATCTGCTCTAATGCCATCCATTTGCCTGCAGATGCCATGATCTTGTTATTTTTTAGTGCTGAGTAATATTCCATTGTGTATAAATGCCACATTTTTTAATCCATTCATCTATTGAAGGACATCTAGGTTAGTTCCACATTCTAGCTATTGTGAATTGTG